TATCGCCCAGAGTATCGCGAGGGCGAGGGCGAGGGTGAGGGCGAGGGCGAGGTACCTGGCGAGCGCGGTGGGCGGATCGGGCACGCCGAAATCGGGCCAGGTGGTGAAGTGGAAGTGCTTGAGGACGCGCTGCTCGGCGCCGCGGCACACCGCCAGCTCGGTGACGGTCCAGTCGGCGTAGCGGCTCTCGTTGAGCGCGGTGACGGCGATGTCCCCGTAGTAGACGGGGCGCGTGTCGTAGGGCCAGTAGCGGTCGCACTTCTCGCGGCCCTTCTCCACGCACCGCGTCAGCATCACGATGGCGCGCGAGCCGGACTCCCAGCACATGCGCCAGAAATCGTCACGCGTGCAGTGCAGCGGCCCCTGCGCAGGCGCACACACTCAGCAGGGGGCTGGGGCGGGGGCTAGTGGGGGCGGGGGCTGGTGGGGGCGGCGCACACTCACCTGCGTCACGATGAACTCGCGCGGCGAGTTGTGTCCGGGCACGTAGTTGGCGTTGATGTAGTCGGAGCCCTCCTCGTCGTCGACGGGCTGCAGCTTGTAGCGCGAGTGGTCGTACGGCAGGATGTTGGTGAAGCGGTTCTTGGGGCGGTTGCAGGGCAGGTCGGCCGCCGTGCACGGCTGCTCGCGCCCCACGTGCTTTAGCTCCTCGAACTCCTCGCTGAACCTGGGAATCGCGTAACGTGAAACATGATCGCGATCATATCCGGACGGGGGAGGGGACGGATCGGGTAGATACCTGAAGTCGGAGTCGGCGGACATGAGGCGATAGTGGTCGATGAAGTCGGAGACGCGCACGGGGCGCGAGGCGACGGGTGCGGGCGGGCAGTGTGCGGGCGCGGCCCGACGCGCACGACGCCGGCGCAGCAGCAGCGCGCCCGCCGCGCCGCACACCGCCGCCAGCACCGCGCCCGCGCCGCCGGCGATCCACGCCGTGTTGTCCGCCTCTGCAACAGACGCGCGCTCAGCCGCCGCTCCCGCGACCCACTCGGTCGATGGATCGGCTCACCGGCGATGGGTATTTACCTGTGAAGACCTGCGTGTAGGCGGTGTCGGTGAACTTGTCGGGCGCGGTGAAGGCGCGCAGCTTGACGTAGTAGCGCGCGTTGGGCTTGAGCGGGCCGTTGCAGTAGGCGCGGCCGCCGCCCTCGCAGCGCTCGGACCCTATCGTGAACTCCTCCACGGCGGACGCGTGGAACGGGTAGTAGGGCTCCGTCACCTGCGCACGCGCTCTCTTTTTCAACTTCTCTTCTATGCGGCTAACTTCTAATTTTATAATCTCACACACCACACCACCTAGGGCTCGCTGGCTAATCTCACCGAATCGATCAACGCATGTTAATTCCACTTAAATGTTACAATTATAAGGCTGCTACGTATCGATATGTAAATAAAAAATGAACAATGACCTGGTAGGGCGGCCAGAGCGGCAGGCGGTGCACGTCGCGCCAGGAGGGCAGGCGCGCGGGCGTGTCGTTGCGCGGCTCCTCCCCCACCACCAGCGTGTACGCGGTCACGTTCCCGTTGGCCGCAGAGAAGTAGTCCGCGCGGAACCGCACCGCCACCTGCACGTCCCCTCGCGTTATACTTCTCGCCCTATCCCCGCCGCCTGCTGCCCACCGCCCACCTCTCACCTCCCACCTCCCAACTCTCACCTCCCACCTCCCACCTCCTGTGTCTCCTCGGCAGCGGAAAAACTCAAACTCGGTAAATGCGATGTATAATAACGACTACTTCTCTAGATAAAAAACAACTTAGAAAAAGAATGCTACTTTGCATACGAAATACGGAAAGTCGCTTTGAACGAGAATTGTGACTGGCTTAGTAACCTAACGTCTCATTGCATTGCTACTTATTTATATGTTAATTGAGTAAAGTGTTATCGGTTTCAAATGTTTTGTCTTGCATTTACAATTTGGATTGATAATTGTTATAATTTTGATCAACAACTAGTGTTTAATCATTTTTATAAATCAGAACAAAAAAAGGGATTTAAATTGATATTTTTTTGAAAATAAATGTTTGAAGTTGCAATCAGTATGTAATAGTATCAATCAATGCAGTAAAAAAATGCAATCAGTTACACTTGGTTGACCTTTGCATAATGCACATCGGGGTTAGTATGATCGCTACAGGGAGCCCTATGAGCAGGGAGCGGGCGAGTGGGCGGTGCGCAGTGGGCGGTGCGCAGTGGGCGGTGCGCAGTGGGCGGTGCGCAGTGGGCGGTGCGCAGTGGGCGGTGCGCAGTGGGCGGTGCGCAATGAGCGGTACCGTGGAGCTGGTGCGGGCGACGGGGGCGGGCAGAGCATCGTGCCGGGGGCGCGGCGGCGCGGCGATGGCCATGTGCTGGCTCCAGCGCGCGGCGGCGCCCGCCCCCGCGCCCGACTCCCCGCGCAGCTCGAACTCGTACGTCACGCCCGGCACCAGGCCAGCCACGCTGCCGCCGCTCGCTGCACACACACCACACACACGTCTCTACTGTGTTCCTGCGCACGGAGCGCACAGAGCGCACGCAGCGCACACAGCGAGCGGTACCGTCGGGCGGGAAGTGCAGCGTGCGCAGATGGTCGGGACGGTCGCGCGGCCAGTAGGCGAGGGCGAAGCGGCGCAGCACGCCGTGGCGCTCGGCGGGCGGTAGGCGCCAGGAGAAGGTGAGCTCGTTTGGGCGCGCGTCGCTGGGCGCGAAGGCGCTGGGCGCGGCCGGCGGGGCCTCACGCGTGCGCACCGCCAGCGAGCGCGCCCGCGACCTGGTCAGGATGGTGGCCGGGGTGCCCGACAGCACCTGGATACAAATATTCAGATTAAGATTATCATTACTGGCTAAAGGTAACCATATCACAGAGTTTTGCCGTCGTAACACTCGTTGTACATATATTTTAAGAGTGGTAAAACCCGCTTTAACATTTTCGCACGAATTGGCCAGGTTCGCCCGGTGAAATACCACGACCACACAGAAAACAGGCGTCAAGTGGAAGCAATTCCGCGTGCAGTCTGATGAGTGTGCGTCCCGGAGGCTAATTTAGTCCTCTTTCCCTTCCCACCCTTTTCTTTTATAAGGAAAGGATGGAAAATGGAAGTGGAATTTCCGGATGAGAGGATGCATGGAAAGGGAAAATATTTTCTTACTGTGCATCCTCTCCTCTGTCGATTTAAGGTAGGCAACGCATATGCAATTGCGTATGTCTATGGGCAACGGTCACCTCGCTACTTCAGCGATTTCAGATGACCGCTCGCTCGTTTGCCACCTATTAATATATATATGTAAGTGCGAGCCGATTGCAATACAAATGTGGATGATCGCGAAGGTCGCGGAGTACCTCGACGGTGAAGGTGTAGTCGGTGTGCGGCTGCAGCGCGGTGAGGTTGAGGCGCAGGCGCTCCGTGCGCACCGCCTGCAGCTGGTCGGGCGCCGCCAGGTACTGCACCTCGAAGTCGGTGAAGTCGCCGGGCGGGCGCGCCCACGCCAGCGCCACGTGCCGCGCGCCCACCTCCGTCGCGCGCAGCTCCGACACCGGGCGCGGGTCTGTGGCACACGTGTGGCATGTGTTGGTGCGTGTGTGGGGTGGTGGGGGTGGTGGTGGTGGGGGGGCGGACATACGTACAGAGGCGCGCCTGGCGCTGCACGGGGTGCGAGGTGACGTTGCGGCTGACGGTCCACATGGTGAGGTTGTACAGGCGGCCGGGCACGAGGCCGCGGAAGTCGACGGGGTGGGAGTCGGCGGCGGGCGCGTGGGCGGCGCGCTCGGCGGTGCGCGGCGCCTCGCCCGCGCCCTCCAGCCGGAAGCGGTACAGGTCGAAGCGCGAGGCGGCGGCCGGCGTGCGCGTGTACACGACGCGCTGTCGTAACATCGTATTATTGTCTCATTTCAGAAACGTATGTATTTGTCGGCTTTCTTAAAGGACATTTTATCATCTACAATTTTGTCTCGGTAATTATTTGACACAACTCACTATTTTGCTGAAAAACTTATATTTATGAAATCTGAACTTTAAAAATGTTATTAAATGCCGTGATTAAGGATAAATAAATAAACGTCATCTATGAGGAAATAAGGGGCAAAAATATTTGTAACATTAGCATCGATATTCAGTAAATTTAACGTGATAAGATATGTGTTTAGTTATACAAAGCGGATTGAATGTGTAAGAAAGCGGAAATGTTTGCCGAATGTGCGGCGGTCGCCTGCTCGCCTGCTCGCCTGCAGACGAGGACTCACCAGGTCCGCGGACACGGTCTCGTTGTCGTCTGCCTCCGGCCGGCTGGACTCGTTCACGATCATCTCCGACTGGATGACGGGCCCTGCCGACACACAGACACACACACACGCAACATTGATCAACATTTTCTCTTTATTTCGTACCCTACCTGGCATTTGAATGATTCTGCATGGTATTGCACATTACTTGCAGCCGGTTTACCGTTCACAGGGTTTTCTCAAATTTGATGGAATAATAATTCTAAAATTTTCAAAATTCTAAAATGAATTGCTAAAAGTAGAATTTCGTCGGAGGTAGAGGTACAAGAGATGGCGATGGCGATTGCGATGGCGATGGCGGGATCTGTCCCCGGAGTACGTACGCGTGCGCGCGTGCATCGTGAACAGCTCGCTGGTGAGGTTGTAGGAGTGCGCCGCGATGGACACGTTGTAGCCCCGCCCCGGCCGCAGCCCCCACAGCGCCGCGCGCACCCGCCGCTCCGACCCCGCGCTGATGTTGCGAGCGCCCGCGCCCACGCCCGCGCCCTCGCCCGCGCCCTCGCCCTCGTCGCCGCCCTCGCCCTCGCCCGCGCCCTCGCCCTCGTCGCCGCCGGGCCACCAGCGCAGCTCGTACCACTCGACGCGACCGGCGGGGCGCGGCCATTCCAGCGTCATGTTGAGCGTGTCAGCCAGCTGCTCCACGTTGGACACGGGATTGGGCCCTGCGGACGAGGTGGCGTTACTGGCGGCGGCTGTGGGAGTGGAGTGTGGAGGTGGAGGTGGAGGTGGAGGGTGTTGGTGGAGGGAGCGTCACGTACGGACGGTGTGCTCGGCGCTGAGCGGGCGGCCGCTGGGCACGGCCTTGTGCTCGGCCGCCTCGCTCTCCGTATCCAGCTCGATGGTGTAGCGCTCGCCGTGGGTCATGTTCGTGATCTGGAAACGACGACACCTCATGAAATGTACGCGTGTAGGGCGCGCAAAAGTTGGGCGAGAAATACCTCCGCGTAGTTTTGCGAGGGCGGGAAGGGCGGCAGCGGGGTCCAGGCGGCGTGCGGCGGCTCCTGCGTGCGGTAGCGCAGCGCGAAGGAGCCGACGGCGCCGGCGGGCGGGCCGCGCCACCGCACCGACACCGAGTTGGAGGTGGCGCGCTTCACCTCGACCCACTCCGCCGGCAGGGGACCTACACATTGCAAGGTACGTCTCTGATCTCATCGCATTATGGCGACAGGGGACTGCCTCAGCGTTACGAGTCCTATTGTGTTTTTTATGTCCTCTTGCACAAACTACTCTCGAACGTATCGGAATCGCTTCAGTTGTTGCGGAGCTGGGTGCGGACGAACTCGCGGCCATCAAATAGATATGTCGATAGAGCGTGAGGAGAGTGGGGAGCTCAGGCGGGACTGCTCAGCTACTCACGCACGGGCTCCAGCACGCTGTTCCACTCGCTGAGCAGGCCGTGGCTGAGCGCCGCCAGCCGGATCTCATACACGGCGCCGGGCACCAGCTCCTGCAGTGTCGCGTTCGTATCGCGCGTCTCCAACTACACCATACAACACAACACTATTCTACATTTTTAATTCAATACTAGCGGTTGTCCGCGACTTTGTGTGCGCGAACTTATTATAAAAGAAAATAAAAAATAGCCAATGTTACTTCCGTACCCATCGGCTACTTTCAGTAAAGTGCCGTCAAAATCCCCACCAATAGCGTACCGCTCACAGGAGGAATCTGTCGATATGTTGACGCAGGAAACTATAAGCACTTTGTAGACTATCGTGCATCAGGCGCACTGGAGGATTTACCAGCAGGCGGATAAGCGTACTCAACTATTAGTATTTAGTATTTCCTAAATGCAAAGTAATACTCGTCGCGGGGACAACAGATGAAACTTTTATTGCATACTTACGACTATATTGAAGTCACCTTACAGCTAAATGTCGCTTTTGTCGGTTGTGATGACATCGACGATAGAAAAAAAAGTACGTGTGTTCTACTTCTTTGGTGTTAGATAAAAATTTATCAAGAAAAATCCTTTTAATATTTAAGAGAAAATAAAATGGACTGCGTAGGTTGAATAAGAAAAGGAAATACATATTTATATTTATGTATCAGTGTAGGTTAAGTGTAACTACGACTATATAATATTTGTTCCGCCTGATTGTTTCACCGACTTTGTTGAGGCGGACTCGGATCAGCTTCAACTATAAGCCTCTATATCTATAATGTTGATCGACAAGTCAACTGACAGTGTAGACAGCGAGCTCGACTTACATCCCAAATACAAATCTGTGGAAATGTAATAGACATTTCAATATTAAACATCGACAAATGTTGCTCACTCCATAGACTTTTTTCACTCTTTCTTAAGATGCTGCGAAGACGTCGGAGAAGGGTTGTGCCCTAAAAAACTAAAAATTAAAATATGTTTTTACTAGAATGAATGCAGCTCTGCTTGCATATTACATATTATTTAAACTTATAAAATAGCTTTGACCCAGTTGGTTGGCACAGTTCATCGAAAATTTAACTTCTTTAATCTTTAATTGAAAATTTAACTTTGTTAATCGTTAACAGTTAACCATATGAAACTCACACAATTATTGGGTTAAGAGGAATAGGTGAAACAGCTAGAAACACGAATTAAATAAACATTTATTTCTTTCCGCCTCGTTCTATCTTATACGATTAATTAGTAAATAAATCAAGACTATGTTTAGGTGCGCGCGCGCATCCCCGACCGAAAGGGGGCAAAATCTATCGAATGGTTATTGCGCACTAAGTTCGACGACGTATTTAGTAGTTTGTTCGTTTTACAAAAAAATGTACAATTACTTGTGTTAAACTACTTTTAAGCACATAAATCAGCATTCAAACTTAAACAAATAAATTTGCATCCCTTACGTTTTAAAGGTCGTTCATTGAATGCAAATGTTTCGTCCAAAAGCAGAAATATTTTAAAATAAACATTTTCGTGTGCAACAGGCACAAGTTTAATTGTATTGTAAGTAGCACGTGATAGTGAGCTGCACACTTGATGATTTTGATTGCAATTATAACCGGAGTGTGGCCGTGTTTGTTCATGACATTTGCATCTCACGTTTTAGACAAAGTGTAAAAGTATCATCTATATGCAGGAAAATGTTTTCGAACTGTTCAGTTCGTCCATGACACTTGCACGCGCACTTCGGAAACATAAATTATCAACTCGTTCGTTCACAGTTACACTTGCCTACAGTCGCCGAACTTACGAGCGAGGTGATAAAATCTTCTGATTGTTTAAAATTAGTTAACATTACAGAAATGCCTGTAAAAATTGTAATTTCTTTAATATATAAGATTTGATTTAGACAAGTAGGCTTTGTGCGTGTAAGACTAAGTAGAACGTCCAAAGCATGAGTTTATTGCAGGAGACATAAGCAACAGCAAAGTGATATAATTGTGTCTCTGGGTGACAGCGAGCGGCACCTGCCCTGCATTCCTATCGATGATGTATTAAGTTTAGGTGAAAGTACAAAAGCTCGCAAGTGTGAGTTGTGTAAGCAGAGGCCCCCGGCCACACCCGAAGCACACGCGCCCGCCCACACGCGGTTGAGGTTATCCAAGTCACCTTTGCCAGGCTATACCTTCACCAGGATAATAGGAATCTATGTCAAGTACGTCGAACGTAAACTTAAATCAAGCATTTCACAATTATTTCTATAATACAATACATTCTTAATCTTACAAATAATACTATACTACTAATATTATAAATTGGAATGATGGATGGATGGATGGATGGATGGATGTTAAAAGGCATCTTCAGAACGGCTGCATGGATCTCGCTTAAATTTGACACAGATGTAGAAAATAGTCTGGAAGAACACATAGGCTACAATTTAAGGACAGGGGGAGTTCGTGCGGAGTGCGGTGTGCGGCGTGCGGCGTGCGGCGTGCGGCGTGCGGCGTGCGGCGTGCGCCACGTCAGAACGCCGCACGCCGCAAGCCGCAATGCCTGCCTCATGTTAGCAGGGGAGTTGGGATTTATTTGAGCGCAATGGTTAAACGTTGCACTCAATCAAGTACTCCCACCATACATTGATCACACGCACAGAGCCGGTCACGATACTAAGCAAAATATAATTATTGTTATTTATTAAATATTGAAGCGTGTCAGATTGAGATAGAACAGAAGGATAGATTTGTACTGTGCGCCCTGATCGCCTGTACGAAACGTGCGGTCCAGAACCTCTCTATGTATGTATGTACTTCCACACTACCACACTACCACATATAAAAGGGTGTTTGTTATTAGTATAATCAAGTAGAGTAATATTGTGCAGTTGCACCAATTGCTGCATCGCCGGCTATATATACATACATAGCACCCATCCAGTAGGTGCTGGTGTGAGGGGTGGATGGGGTGGATGGGGTGGGATATTAGAGTGCATCAGGTCACCGGGAAAAATAACTGAATCAAGTTTGTGCAACCAAAACATAGTTTAATGTATACCCCGAAGCACCTCGCAACAGAAAGCTAACACCATCACATAATTAACTACAAACTATTTAGTTTACATCTCTAGTAGCGTTAGTGAGACACGATGTTATTAACAAAGTCCCGCACCGAAATGAAAGTAAACATAGTCAGCTTAGTGACAGCTTACACTACAGTATCGAAGTGAAGCGACAGCAGAGTGCCGCTCCGCTTCGAGTCACAAGTCGGGCGGCGTACCGTGCGGAAGGGCTCGTCTGCGGCGCGGCGGCGGTACCGCAGCTGGTAGGCCTGCTGGCGCGAGGTGACGTCGGCGCGCCACGCCAGCCGCAGCGCGCCCCGCTCCGCCGCCGCCGTCTGCAGCGCCGGCGCCAGCGGCCGTCGCGCCGCCCACCGCACCGTCTCGTTGGACTCTGCGCCGCGCGACACCGCGCTCACCTGCCGCACCACAGCCGCCGTTACTACCCCGCCGCCTCACCTCCCCCACCTACCGCCTCCCACCTCGCACCTCCCACCTCCCACATACCGAGATGGTGTAGTTGCGCCCGGGCAGCAGTCCCTCCAGCGTCACGTTGGTGGCGGCCGTGGTGAGCGTGCTGCTGTCGTCGTGCGAGGGGCCCGTCTCGTGGTAGGACACCTGCAACAGGAGCCCGGCGTCAGCTCGGCGCCGGCACGTCCCGGGCGCGGCTCGAGTGCCGCACCTACCTTGTACTCATCCTGCGTGCTGCCCTCGGCGGGCTGCCACCACAGCAGCAGGCCCTCGCCGGCGGCCGCGTTGCGCCACTCCAGCCCGCGCACTGCCAGCGGCTCTGCCACACAAACTCCCTCTTTACATGCGGACCGACGGCCATTTATAACGACTTAAGTATGACAATACTTAGTAAACATAAAGCAAATAATATGTCCTCGCTAATAGTGTTACCCTCGAGCGCTGGATGTTTGCTTTAAATTTTAGTACCAATGAAACGTACAGCTTTAACGTTTTCGATGTCATCAAAACTCCCGCTTAACTCGGCTCTATTATCAAACGGCGGAGGAGGACGCAAAGTATCACGTGAGAGAGGGCGAGGTACTGACTGAGCGTGAAGTCCGCGGCGGCGGGCCACGAGGTCACCTTGCCCGACATGGTCTTCACCGTGACGGTGTAGTGCCCGCCCGGCTCCAGGCCCTCGAACGTCGCCGTCGTGGGATCGTCGCGCGCGCGCACCACCGGCGCGATGCGGCGCCCGCCCNNCTCCCCCACCACCCCCGCCACCGCCACCACCGCCCCCGGCGCCCGCGCTCTCCGCCAGCGCCACCGACACCTGGTACTTCTCGAACTCACTGAAACACGTTCAAACACGTATACCTCTGGGTCGGAGCGGCACGAGCCCGAGCCCGCAGACGTAGTGACAACCTGTGGTCGGCGGGCGGCAGCCACGAGACGCGGAAGGAGGTCTCGCGCAGGTCGCGCGCGTCCACGGTGACGTTGCGCGGGCGCAGCGGCACGGTGCGGTACTGCGCCGTGGTGGGCGCCGACACCTCGGGCTCCGACACCGTCTGCACGGAGATGTTGTACGCGCGCCCCGGCACCAACCCCTGCGGACGCGACAACCGACTCATCAGCCGCCGCTCTCTTCGCGGAATGAGCCCGCGGGCCCGTACTCACCTTGAAAGCGGCCTGCGCGGGCCCCGGCGGCTCGCCCTCCTTCTCCACGTACAACTCCGAGTCGCGGGCGTCGCGCGGCTCGATCGACACCTGCAACACACAACACCGCCGTTAACATAGCTCCGCTCGGGCCGCTCGGGCCACGCAAACGGGATTCGCTCACCTTATAGTGGGTGTAGGCGCCGGGCGGGTAGGGCGGCTGCCACAGCACCAGCAACGTGGTCTCGTTGCGGAACCACACGATGAACTTGCCCGGCGTGTTGGGCCCTGTGCAGAGAGCGGAGCGCGTCACCGGCGGTGCGACCTCGCCACTACTTCTCATACAGACATACTTACCCTTACAGGAGTGCGGCGCGGCGGCCCGAGCGGCGGCCAGGGCGAGGGTTAACAAAGGTTAATGATTAACAAACAATAGCAATAGGTACTAGCTAGTGTGCCTCACACTGGTCGCTCATGTATCTATTGAGGGGATGGGAGCGGGGACTCACGGACGGTGAAGTTGCGCGAGGCGTAGGCGGCGCTCTCCTTGTCGTGCAGCAGGGTGAAGGCGTGCAGCTGGTAGGTGGCGCCGGGCGCGAGGTCGCGCACCGCATAGCTCCCGTTGCCGCCCTCCACGGTGATGTTGCGGGCGCCCTCGCGCGCCTCCGTCAGCGGTATCACCTGCGCCCGAGATATCTCTCGCTTCTATACCACTTCCATCCGCCTCCGCCCTCCCCCTCCCCATCTTACATCACTCACTACTCCATACAAACTTTTGGGGCGAGCTTCATCATCATCATTTGTATAAAGCAAATGGAGCATTCTGCGGTTCGTCTGATGAGTTACTTGTCTTGTGCGCTCTTTTCTGTTTCCATTCGCGTGCTTTTCCAATACCAAAAGTGAGCGGGAAGAGTAAGTGAAGTAAGCGGGTGAGGGAAATTATTTTATGTCCTCTCTAGTCGATTTAAGATAGGCGACGCATTTGCAACTGTTTAACTCGTTGCGAATCCAAAATACCTTGAAGCGGAATCCGGTGTAGTCCCCGTGCGCGGGCGGCGACCACGTTATGATGGTCTTCTTGTTGCGGCCCTGCGTCACCGTCAGGTTGGTGGGCGGCTCCGGGGCTGGCGGGGCACAAGGTGACACGGCACTTATTAAAGTAAGCCAATTAGAACCGTTTTAAATTGATATAGGTGTACACAGCAGTAGTCACAGATTTACCTAATATTATATCGATGTTTCCGATGTTTCCTACCAACTGTTGGTGACATTTTAAAACATAACATATTACACCAGTATCTATATCTATTATTTTATTTCATAAACATGCATTTTGTTGATGCGTCTTCCTTCTTCATTGTGATATTATTTCTTGTGTCGACAAATATCTATATTTTAATATTTTTATTTTTCACACAACACAAAATTTCTATTGAATCGGACCATCTGGAAAAGTTTATCTTTATCACATCAGTTGGTGCATTAGTGGGGATAGTTTTAGAAGAATCGATTGTTCTCACCGGTGATGATGGTCTGGTTCCATGTCAGCAAGTCCGCGAAGGTGGCATTAGAGTAGTAGAGCATGAAGTGGTACTTGGTGCCAGGCAGGCCGCGGAAGTTGATGGTGGACGCCTGCGCCGGCACCGTGAAGTTGGGCTCGGGCGAGCCCTGCGGCGGCGTGTAGTCGAGCCGGTAGCGCGCTCCTGCCGCCTCGCCGCCCACACCCGCGCCCGACGCCGGGATCTCGATCACCAGGTCGGCGGCCGCGGCGCCGGCCAGCGCGCCCTGGGCCGTCACACAGTACACATGTGCCGTCAAATGCAGTCAATACATGCTTTTTGTAACTAATCATTTTAATCTCCTCAAAAGCGCCAATTTTTTATTCACCTTATAATTGGGGTACAACAGACACAAGCAAAGTGTCAACACAAAAAATATCATTTTGAAATTTAAATTTATTTTTTTATCCATCCATCCAAACTACTAGTAAGATATAACTTTATAGCACCATCATTGTACATCAACATAATGATTTTTACTTTTTCTATATACTCTCTCTTTGCCTAGCTTGCATCCTACAAGGATGGTGGCTGGTGGCTGGCGGGGTCAGATTTCCCAATCCATCTGTTCTACTTAATTCAGTCGATGACATCTTCTTCTGACACTTGGCACTTTACTTTCATCATCATCATCAACCTGCCCTTATCCCTATCGAGGGTCGGCACAGCATGTACTACTCCTCCATACATCTCTATCAGCCGTCATATCCGAGTCTACTGGCACTTTACTTTGTATACATTATTTATTATATAATACATATACAAATAAAAGTACAAAATACATTTTAACTATTCACACATTTAGAAAAATAAATGTGGAAACACCCAAAATGCAAAACAATCACCACTTTGTGAAGGCAAGTTCTTAGAGTTTTAGTTTTCAATCATCATTATAAACTTACCCTTATTCCTGTGGAGGATTGGCACAGTATGGACTACTCCTCCATACATCTTTATAAGAATGCATATGGATGGATTCACAGCCTACTTAAGTGTATCCTCTTTTACACAATCCATTCTTACTTGTTTTATTCTTCCTCTTTCATTTTTATATTTGTCCAAATATAAAAAAACAATGTAATAATCACAAACATATTAATATAATTATATTTGTATAAGTAAAGTTACTTTAATAGATATTTAATTATTATTATTTCAAGGATTCAGCCTCATTCACCTCCACAAAGTGCATTCGCTCCAATATAAAAATCTATGGAACTAATATTGTTGCAAATCACTTGACTTATCAAAATTTATTGTCACTTCTATTCTAATATACATTTCCTTATGGAAACCCTTCGGATTAAACTTGTAGCTATGTCTTCCAAAAAGATATAAGGTTCACAAAAATATCTTTAGCCACTTTTAGAAAAGGCAGAAATTAACGAAGGCACTGTAGCAACGCAGACAACTCTTTTCTTTTTTTCAGTATTATAAAAACTTTAAATATTGTTACTATACAGGTTGTCCCAAATGGTTATGTACATAGGAAGGGGGATGATAGGGGTGGTCACAAGGGTCACCAGAAAAATAAAATAAAAATTCACCTCTGGGTATTAAAAAAAATAAATGGCATTTTTTAAAAACTTAAAAATTTTACACCTTCTGGGGCAATTTTGTTACCTACAAATATTGCTATAATTAAAAAAAAGGTATTATGTTATCGCCAATAACCCTTTATCAATATGAAATAAAAAAAACAATACAACTAACAAAGATTTTAAAGAAAATTAAAATTGCCCCAGAAGGTGTAAAATTTTTAAGTTTATAAAAAATGCCATTTATTTTTGGGATGCCCCTTCCTAAGTATTACATACTTTTGGGACGCCCTGTATATATAACAATTGCCTATCATTTTAATGGCAATGATTAAATTTATTTATTTTAGATTTTATAATGAAACTATTAACCCAAGTGAAGGGTAAGGTTTTCCCTTGTGCCCGCTTGTAGCCTAAATTGCCCCAACAATTTGTCGAGAACAGTTAGTCGAGCTTCTTGTTTATTTTTTAATTGGTAATTAGTTCATTTTCCTAATAATTTTAAAGTTATGTTGTAACAAAACATAGTGACGCATAAATCGTGAGGCGGCTGTGGCACTTACAGCGGCGATGAGGACGAGCAGCGCGACTCCTGCGGCCCGCAGTACGCAAGCGCTGCAAGCTCTACGGACAGCCGCTGCTGCTTGCACAATACACTTCTTCCACATCATTGAAGGCCACTCTCTGATTTCACAGGACACTTTCTCTTCCAAATAAACACCATTACTCACGTTCAGAATCATACTTAATTTATATAACTTTACGCCAACTTGGCATCGTCACAAAGTGCATTGGTAAAACATCATTGCAAGAGTTGATAAACTGATGATATCGTATTGAATATAATCACATTAAACTTAGATTATTATAGCTATGTTGTCATATGCCAACAGGTTGTCACCAGTTGTCATTCACTACCATACACTATACGCTCTAGACGTGTGTAAATCACTGTACTTGCTGAACCGTGACCTCTATAAATGGACTGGCTATAATCTTTTTTTTATGTGCCTATTTGATAAACTAAACCATACATAGGACATATGGACTTTCTTCTTACTAGGGGAGACCATACAAATACAGTACATTTTACGAATTGACCCAAAAAACTCATTTTTAATTATCTTTGCGGAACATTAAAATATATGAAAGTATATTCATTTTAAACCTGAAAATATTATCTAAATGATCAAAAGGTTCTAAACCGTTGATTACATCAAATATTAAAATAATAGGCCCACAAAAAAAGACCCCTTAAATTCAATTTCCGTCCACCCAAGACAGATATGGTCCGCCCCTTTGGTACAATTGCCGTCCACCGTGGACTTACTATAAGTATGTGAAATTATTATTATTTGACATTTCTCTTAGTTTTTTTGTATCATAAAATAAAGTTTAATATAATTAGAAAGTACATAATTGGTAAATCATCATTTTTTTACAAAAACAATGTCTTATTAGGATTATCACGGATATTAATTTAACGGGTCTCTAGTACACACATCCCGCTGTCAGTACTTTTTGAAATTTGGTACATAGGTTTAGTCCTAATGAAAAGCCATTTTTTACATTTGGTGTCATAGTAAATCCAATATTGCCCGTCACAAAATGGCAGATGACATTTTTGCTCAAGCCCCACAATATGAGTATCAAATAAAAGGATTTGACTAGTAGGACGTGATAAAATCCAACAATTAACTTAAAAATAATCGCTGAAAGTAGGAACAGACTTAAAAATATTTCTTTAATTTTACTTGTTACTGTAAAGCACATAGCTTACGTGGAAGCATTAAACTCTCTTTCTTTTTTCTTATTTTTTGATTATATTATAAGATCCCTAACTTTATAATCATCTTAGTATAAAAACACGAGTTTTTATATCTCTTACCAAGGAAAGACAGTGATTCTTTTTAGGTAATAAATCAAGACAAGTTTAATAATTAAGCAAAATAAATAATCTCCTTTATGATTTTTGTGTTTCTTTTATTTCAATCATAGAACAAAGTATATTTCAGGTAAAACACATTTTAATACAGAAACAATATGAATTTGGGGTGGACGGGAACTGTACCCTAGGGGTGGTCGATAACTATCTAGTGCTATGGCCATAACGGTATGCAATACAAATTTTCAGACAATTGTAGACTACCATATTTTAAGCCTTAAGAAAGTAATAACCGAAGTTATATCCACATAACTAGATTCTAGAACATCTAATCTATTAGATATATTGATAACAAAGCATTCAAAATTTGAATAAGTAACCAGTGAAAAAATATTAAAAAAGGCTGTCGTTAACAAAAAAGACAAGAAAATAATAATTTTTAATCTCGCCGATTACTTTAAGTCAAGCTGTGGCTTTTTATATTAATATTTTCTGTTAGTAATTTAAATGTGAAATGTTAGCCCATTAGTTGTAGCATATGTTTCAGTGGTTTACTATCAATTAATTTCTATAAAAACTACGATAAATATGTTTTTTTGTCTTAAGTAGTCCACAACTATATCATGGTCGGGAACTATCGGATCTCCCAAAGAGTATATAAAATCTCCCCTAATGGTTATATAAATCTTTGAAATATGGCGACGAAGGCGCGGGCCAGCGCGGGCACAGCACACAGTTGGCACACAGCTTATAATTGATAGATGTCAAATGTAACCTATAAAATTAGTAGACATGTCGTAAATAATTTCATGGTTTATACAAGGCTGGAAAAAATTGAATGTCGATTTTAAAGCGTGAATTGTCTTATAACTATACACCATAGTATATTATTGATTTCACTGGATCAATTTTGTTCTTTATATCGATTTATTTAAAAAAATGTTTCGAAAAATCGATCATTCGAACAATCGATTTTAGATCGCCATCTCCAAATAGAATGTAACTCGTAATGTGGTCATCTCTAGCTGTCAGTTGAATTAAATAATATTTTAAGTTTGTTTGAATCCAAATGCTTAAATTAAATTAAAATGGTGCAAAATGAATCAGAAAGTTGGACAAATGATGATACGATAAGGATTTTGATCGCTTCAGATATTCATTTGGGTTATTTAGAAAATGATGCTGAGCGCGGCGAGGATAGCTTCATCGCTTTCGAAGAAGTTTTATCGCTGGCTGTCCAATACGACGTTGATCTCGTGTTGCTGGGGGGCGACCTGTTCGACCAGGCGAAGCCCTCTCCGAGCTGTATGTTCAAGTGCACTCAGATCATCCGCAAGTATTGTTTCGGAGACAAACCGGTTAGTGTCGAGTTGTTATCTGATCAGTTACAAAATTTTTCAAGAGTTGTTAACTACGAAGATCCAAATTTGAATATTTCCTATCCCATATTATCAATTCATGGAAACCACGATGATCCTGTTGGACAAGGCAGCATTAGTTCCCTTGATATACTCTCTACAACTGGACTGGTTAACTACTTTGGCAAATGGAGCGATTACACGCAAGTTCGAGTATCTCCTGTTCTCTTGCAAAAGGGAGAGACCAAATTGTCCCTGTATGGCTTGAGTCATCTTAAAGATCAACGACTCTCCCGCTTATTTGGGGAAAAGAAAGTTGAAATGGATCTGTTAGAAGACAGCAATGACTGGTTTAACATCCTTGTGCTTCATCAAAACAGAGCGGATAGAGGCCATGGAAATTACATTCCAGAAAATGTGTTGCCTAAATTTTTAGATCTTGTCATATGGGGACATGAGCATGACAGCCAAGTGTTTCCAATCAAGGATATGAAGAGGGACAATGAAGGTTTCTGTGTGATCCAGCCAGGCAGTACGGTGGCCACTTCGTTGGCCGCGGGGGAGGCACTGCCCAAACATTGTGCCCTGCTGCAGTTACACAAGAAAGACTATATTGTAACTCCTCTGCCTTTGAAGACTGTAAGGCCTTTCATTTTTAAAACAATTGTTCTGTCAGAAGAAAATTTAGGTGGCAAAACAGTAAAGGAAAGTGACAGAGTACAAGAATTTTTAAAGGACAAAGTGGAGGCAGCTATAGAAGAAGCAAATACGTTACGCAGTGGCAATCCAAAGCAGCCGAGGCTTCCTTTGGTTCGTCTGTCAGTGTTCTATGAACATGACAGTCAAGACTTCAATCGCATTCGATTTGGTCAAAATTTCAATGGTATAGTAGCAAACCCTAATGACATTTTAATTATGAAAAGAGAGAAAAAAATCAGGGAGAGAAAAGAAAATTATAAGTCCGAGGAGGTGGATATAAGAGGCGCGGCCGTGGAAGCGAGCGACGTGGAGACGTTGTTGCGGGCGTACTACGGCGCGCTGCCGGCCGAGCGGCGCCTCGCTGTGCTCTCGGTGCGCTCCATCACTGAGGCGGTGCGCGACTACACCTTAAAGCGCGACGACGGCGTGTTTCGCCGAGTGCTGGAAGGACACCGGCGGCATTGTGTAGATTCATTACTTGACTCGACCGCCGAGACGGATGAAGAGGTTCAAGAGCGACTGCGGATATGCAAGCAGGATTTGGATGCGACTGAAGAGGCGCAGCTGAAGGGGTTGATTGAGCAGGCCGCCAAAAAGAAAGTCGTGACAGTGGAGGAGAGCGAGGAATCGGAGGGCGAAGTGGTGGTGGAGCGCGTGGTGGAGGGACGCGGTCGGGGCCGGGCGCGCGGGCGGTCGCCACGGGGCGCGCGCGGCAGGGCCCGGGGCCGCGCGCGCGCCGCTTCTCCGGAGCGCCGCACGCCGCGCCGCCAGGCCGCGCTCAAGTCCACAGAGTGGTTGCAGACCCTCTCGACCGAGCGCGCCTCCCGACGCCGACACGATTCCTCTGAAATCGAACTCTCCGATTGACAATTTATTATACTACAATATTATATATATTTTTACATTCTCTTAGTACATTCTTTTCTTTTATTTTGTGTTATTAAGCATATTTCTTTATTCCATTTTTCATTAAAGAGAACCTTTAAATTAAGAGTTTCCTTTAATTATTAAAAAATTATAACTAGTAACCAAAGGTTGGGATTAACTCGTTAATCCATTAATCGTTAATTGACGAATTTAACAATGTTGTTATAGGTGTAACGTTTAGTTTAACTTCAAAAAGTGTTAACGTTTTTGTTCAATTCCGTACGTAACTTAGTCCGTTCATCGTTAACAGTAGACACTTGGTGATGAAAGATGAGAAAAATGAAATGAATGGGAGGTACGAAAACATTTTCCTGCATATAGATGATACTTTTACACTTTGTCTAAAACGTGAGATGCAAATGTCATGAACAAACACGGCCACACTCCGGTTATAATTGCAATCAAAATCATCAAGTGTGCAGCTCACTATCACGTGCTACTTACAATACAATTAAACTTGTGCCTGTTGCACACGAAAATGTTTATTTTAAAATATTTCTGCTTTTGGACGAAACATTTGCATTCAATGAACGACCCTTAAAACGTAAGGGATGCAAATTTATTTGTTTAAGTTTGAATGCTGATTTATGTGCTTAAAAGTAGTTTAACACAAGTAATTGTACATTTTTTTGTAAAACGAACAAACTACTAAATACGTCGTCGAACTTAGTGCGCAATAACCATTCGATAGATTTATGGCCAACTCTTCTAATGATTCGCGATGCGCGCAAGCGTAAAGACATTCTTGATTTGCGTACTAACTAAACGTATAAGCGATAGAGAGGTGTGGAAGAGACTACGGGAGGCCTATGTCAAGGGACAACCTGACACGCAACGGGATGTTGGGAAATCGATTATACATACATCTAACATAAGTTAATTACTAGAAAATAAGTTTGTCAATATTGTAATATTATGTTTAATAATTGTCAGCGAATAAAGGCTTTATCTATCTATCTAAACGTATAATATAGAACGAGACAGAATAAGGGAATAAATAAAATTGTGTTTAGGTGCATTAAGCTTAGTTCGTATTTATAGTGTGTTTTATCTATTTGACTTAACGCAAAAATAGTGTGATTTACATATGACCAACAACACTTTCAACTTGCGTTAAGTTTTCGAAACTTTAACGCATTAACGATGTTAACTTTTGGATTAACTGTGCCCACTTGTGCTAGTAACAAATCCATGCGTTGTCCGCCAAAAGCAGGACCCCACATTGTAATTGTTGTGGCTTGTTCCATCCGTTATTCGACTCTTGTCCTGATTAGTTTGTCCTGTTTTAGAACACATGTAACATAAATAAAACACAAATATAATTGTTATTTTTATTTATGCAATGCAATGCAATGCAATGCAACATGCGGCCCAGCTAGTATTATACAAATTCACTAAATGTTTATACACTTATCAATCAAATTTTGTAAAAATTGTATGAGGAGCAATCCTGTGTGGCGTTCTGATGTGTGATGTGCGTAAGCACTTGGTGTAAGTGTTGAGTTTGTCAGGATTGGGATGCGAGTAAAATGAATACAGTGGAAATGAGATGTTTGAGAAGTATGTGAAAGTGCCGATAGGAATGACTGAATGATAGGATTACAAACACTGCTATAACACTGCTGGTGGAATGTGTACGTTGTGGATGCAGTTGAAAAACATGTGCTCAGATGATTTGCATACGTTGAAAGGATGAATATAAGGAAATTAACAAAGGAAACTAATGGCTTTAAACTTGAAATGGCGGCAGTGAAGCAATCAGGGCGGTTCCTGACGAACTTCTACCGTTTAGATTGGCGAAGTACTGACGAAGGGCGTTATTAAGAGCACCCGTAACGTATGTATGTGTGAATGTGGAAGAAGTGAGAGTAGTGTGTCTTCAGCGCACCAAATGTAGCTCCATGTTCTCTTCATTTTTTTGTTTCAAAACCTCTAGCTGTTGTGGTGAATAATATTAAAAAATATATGGACGATGTGTGATAAAGAGGGCTGCACAGTGAGAAGGGCAAGCCGCAGGAGGCTAGGGACGGGCCGGGGCGAGGGCGCGACGCAGGAAGCGCAAAGCGGCGGCCGCGGCGGCCTCGGGGTCCGAGCCGGCCATGGCCAGCGGCGGCGCGGTGGGCGCCAGCGAGACCAGCGCGAGCTGCCCGCTCTCGGCCGGCAGCTGGTGCAGCTCGAGGCCCAGACCGAGCGCGAGCGCCGCCTCGCGTAGCGCCGCGCCCCGCTCGTAGCCCCCCTCGCCCCCCTCGCTCGCCTCCATCACCGCCAGCGCAGCCTCCCGCTTGCCCGCCTCTGTGTGCATGTACAGCAAATTATTGGAATTGTATGGCGCGCCCAGCTTATCTGTGCCCGCACCCGTGAGACATTAAAATGGCGGGAAGATGCGGAAGCGGCGCGAACTCACCGACGTGCGTCAGCAGGCCCAGGTGGTAGTCGGCGATGCGCTGGCCCAGGTGCGGCCGCCAGCCCAGCTCCTCGCGCCGCTCCACGTAGCGCTCCATGGCCCGCTCGTGCGCGCGCGCCAGCGCCTCCTCCTGCAACGCGACCACGACAGTGCGACGACACTCCTCTCCCGCCGACATCACCTTCACGACGTGGTTTTACATCACCTCGACGAAATCTTTAGTGAGCCGAGAAAGGTTTTCTCTGAGATAGGTGTAGAGCTGCTCGGCGGCGAGCTGCCTGGCGGACTTCTTGGTGGTGGAGGTGGCGCGGCGCTCGTGCAGGCCGAGGCGCGCGCTGACCGTGAAGTGGCGCGCGTGCGGCGGGCCCGTGTCCGCCGTCAGCTCGTACTGCGCCGCCGGCAGCCGGTACTCCTCGCACAACTCGCTCAGCAGCGCCACGTAGCTGCGAGCCGCCGTGCCGCCCGCGGCCTCGCTCACCGCGCCGACGGCCGCCATGCCCTGCCGTGGGAACGCTCACATTTAACGTAAATCTAAGCGGCGGGGACGGAACGCGTTCGATGCGGTGACAGGTGTGAGGCGACCGTGGGCGGCGGGGCGGCGCCGCAACTGAAGGGCGCGGGCACGGACAGGCCGTGCTCCGCCAGGCGCAGCAGCAGCACGCGCGCCGCCTCCTGCTTCGCCTCCTTCTTGGAGCGCGCCGTCGCCGTCACCGTGTGCCCGTGCGCCGAGCAGCGGTACTCGAACGTCGCTTGGTGCTGGGGCCCCGACTGTAACACGAAGCGGACAGGACCGATCGACTCAAAAATAATGGCTATGCATCCACATTCTTATTTATCATTGAAAGGCGAACAAAAAAGAGAACCAACCATCCACTTCTCGGTTGCACATTGCTCCTAGTGGACACCACTGGAGACAATGTAACTCTTGTTTTCTAACAATATATATTTTAAAATAAGAGTGAACATAATAAACATATTCCACACGCGAGATTTAGTGGAGTAAAGGCCCGTTCGGCTTCGGTCGGAGCGACACACACTTTACACCTCCTCAGGTAAACTTTAAATACAAATAACTCTAAAACAATCATAGAGAGATTTAGACCATTTATTGGTTATTGTTAAAGCGAGACTTGTGTCTCCGACACTGCATTGAATACTACTTGCCACTTGCTTATCACACATATTTATTTATTTATTTACAACATGGAAAACATACAGCTATGTTGTTAATCTTATTAACTATAGACTAGACAATTGAGAGCCAATGACAAGTGTTCACTTATAACAATATTATATCTATAATGAGCAAACAAACAAACAAGTATCGCAACTATTAAACTATAGTAATATATAACAATGTAGTTAAAAACTAAGTTATAGTAGATTCAATAATAGTAACAGTTCACATTGTGAATGGATCCGACTCATGTTTATTGCAGATTTTGTTAAAATTTCCAATTGCACGCGCAATAACTGTATACTGTAATAAAAGGTAAAGGTGGTATGGAACTAATTGATTTGCACGGGTCAATTTATATGTACAATACAATATATAGACAGTACCTGAGCAATGCATTCATATTCGGGACAGAGACCAAGCTTTATCATCATTTCCTGCAGGACTGTGACTGCAGTCTTCATTGTGCCCGATGCTGGAACACACAAATTACAACACTACATATTCTGAATGATGATGAAGGACATCTAACATACATATGTTCTGACATTGGAGCAGTACTGTTGCGTACTTAAGTACTCCCATCATTGTTCAATTTACGCTAATACTTTACAATAGATGAAACTTACTCATTTTCATATATTTAATTTAAATGATAGAAAATTCTCTTTTACTTTGTTTCAACGACTTTTCTGAAGGATGTAATCTATTTCAAAGAAAAAACAAAACAATTTTTCCATAATTTTACCTAGTTTGTTCACACATATGGTTTTTATAATTCAGTGAAACCTGGATAGGCGGGATAAATCATTAAACAAGAGTCATAGTCAGGTCCGGGCAGACAACCTCCATCAGTGAGAAACTTAGGTTCCAGAGAAGAGATAACAATATTGCTTATCCAGGTTCAACTATAATCATATGTTTGTAATAGCTGAGTACTTTCCAATAGTGATGATTGATTGTGTAAATTCTTTAATACAAAAGGGACGTTTATAAATCAGTATATACCACCAGTGCAGCTATAATTCTTCCTTTTCTATGTGTTATCCTGTAACGATAAATAAACAGGAGGCAAACATTTATTTATTTATACTTTGTTGACAGTGTCTGATGGGAATTGACAGTGACACTTTCTTGACAATTGTTTTATTTTGCCGCCGACGTATGCGGTTGGTACCTATCTACTTGGTACACGATCATACAATAAATGGATTGGCGATTTTTGGTAAAACTTTACAATAGCGAATCATGCTGAATTTTCATCAAATTAATTTTATAGTCTGTCTATTTAAGATATATTAGTTTGGCAATTCACTAGATATGGGTTGAATAAAATCGATTAAGAAATTTTTCGATTTTCGATGTCTGTTCTAATAGAACTTGCAAATCAAGATTTCGTGATTTTTGTTTTTGAATTATAATATAAATAAAATAGTTACTTTTTTATATCATAAGGCGGCAAACGAGCGAGCGGCCACTTGAAATCGCTGATATAGCGAAGTGACCGTTGGCCATAGACATACCCAATTGCATATGCGTTGCCTACCTTTAATCGACGGAGGAGAGGATGCACAGAAAGAAAATATATTCCCTTTCCATGCATCCTCTCATCCGGAAAGGCCACTTCCACTTCCCATCCTTTCCTAATAAGAAAAAGGTGGAAAGGGAAAGAGGACTAAATTAGGCCTCCGGGACGCACACTCATCAGACGAAACGCGGAATTGCTTCCACTTCACGCCTGTCTTCTGTGTGGTCGTGGTATTTCACCGGGCGAACCGGGCCATTTCGTGCGAGGATGTTAAAGCGGGCTCTTCCGCTGTCAAACTTTATTATCCAACTGTATTCTATTAAACTATATAAAGAAATAAATCAATAAACTAAAAATTGAGATGTTGACAAGCAATATGAAATATTTTTTATGTATTTTTAGTTAATTATGCGAGACATAGCCATCAACTACACTACCATTATGTACATTATGACAACAGACCATTATGTATAGCATTAAGCGTCATACAAAATTTTATAATCACTTTATAGGCGTCACTTGTCAAACTAATCTATCTTAAATAGACTATTACAAAAGATAGGAAATGATCTCATTTTTATTTTTTTTTGGGGTGTAATTAAAAAAATAATAATATAAATACGTATAATGTATGATAATACCAGGTATAATAAGAAGTTTATCCATTTAGTTTTGCGTTTTTGCTCTTTTTGTTAAGAATTGGTAGTAAATAAGTAAATCTAGTTTTTTCATTACCTTTTCCCAGCTATTTTTTTTGTAAGTTTATTAACAACTTTCATGGGCGTCGGCAACACCAGAAAAATCGCAAATGCTTTACTGGCCTTTAAGGAAAGCGGTATTCCATGTGGGGCCGAACTTCCTGTTCGAATGTGTTGTTGGAATTGAAAACGACAAGATTTTGTAGACCTCAATCTGAAATTTACACCCAATGGGTTCTCTAGTTCAGGCACAAGTTTGTCCTGCTCTAATCGGCAGTAGCCCGAGAAACTTTAGCGAAGGCCGTGTATGCACAATGCATAACTTTGAATTTTGCTGGTTTAGCTAAATAAATAAATGGTTTGCAGAATGTCATTGATAAGCAGAAGAAAAGAGATGGGCGACAGTACGCAGCCCTGCAAGACCGTCCCAAAAGTTGGAAGGCAACTTCGAAAGAAGTGCTTTGTGCCACACCAGACCATGGACGAGTCCAAACCGAGCTATCGCCTTTCATTGGAATCTTTTATAGCCTGTCCATTTATATTTCATCTCATTATTGGTCTACAAATGAGTAGTATAGACCGACCAAAATATCTGACCCGGTGCGGTGGGCACACTAAATCATAATATATGTAGTTCGACAAAGATCTTTTGGCAGTTCGAAAAATTTGTGATCTAACGATGTCACCTCGACAGCTTCGTATTTTGACCAATGACTCTTTCTTCTAAAGTAGCAGCACGATTTAATGTTGCCATTTTCATAATATCGAAATTCCATAAAAATATCAGTTCTTCAGCGATTAACAGCCTATTTCCTTCCATATACATACATATATCATCGTATCATATTTCGAGCATATTGAAAGTACTTTCTCGACGCCGTCTAAGTCGCGGGCGTCTCCTTGTCAACTTAGTAAAGGTTCTTCGGGAGGTTCTGCTATATGAGATTAGGCCAACTGAGAAGAACACGGGAACTGGAGACACTGCCGACGACGCGGAGGAGGCAGTCGGCACGCGAACGTTGCGGCGGCGCCTGCAGTCCTGCACGGCACTCGGCCGCGGCGCGCGTCGCATTCGGCGCAGCTCGTCGACAAGTGGAGACGGAGAGTAGATCGGCCTCGGCACTCCTCGGAGTCGCCCCGCGTCGACATGCACACCTCACGTCGCCTCTCGCTCATTAAGGAGGTTCGAATCTTTTCTTTTTTTTAATAGTTATCACTTAATTTTTTATATGAGGGAAGGGGACAAACTAGCGGCGGGAAGTGATCACTTTTTACTTAATATATCTATAACTTATATTTTATTATATTTATATATATATATATAAATCATGTTTCGCGAACATGATGCCTTTGCGTAGCTCATTGCGAAAATCCGATTTTTGTAATTTTTATTTTTATATGAGGAAGGAATTTTCCCTTTCTACTTTAGGGCGTGAATTGTTAAAACAAATGAAACAACCGAGCCAACCGACCTTTTTTGTACCTTATTTACCACGGAGAATGTCCCAAAAACTATTTGAACGAATCCCGCCGCAGTTTTTCGTCATAGGACAACACGACAGGCCACCAGGTACGATCACTCACCACCATCGGGATGGCTGGCGTTCTTCGATGATCATCCAGTTGTTCCCGCCGCTCCTTTACCTACCC